ACAATTTCACACATTTACAACCTTGAGGTTCCTTTTAATGTTGCTCGCTGCTGCACGACCGTGTCCCATAGTTGTCTCTAATCTTTTAGATTTTTCATGTACATGTTATAAATAAAGAATTTATTTAATGTTGTAAATCCCTTGTTCACATTTAAACAGGTTATAATAGTATTAGTGTAGGTTGGACACTAGGTGGTGCGTTGGGATAATTTTCAAATTCTAAACTTTAAAATATGCATTTATTTTTTATTTATTTTTAATTGCACATTTAAATTAAACTGAAGGAAATTGTAAATTTACATGCTTAAGTATTATTTCAACCAAAAGTGAAGTGTGCCTGTGTGGAAAGTGACTGTGCATGGTCCTTCTTGGGTCTTTCACAAAAACGAGTGAGCGCCATTTAAAAAAATGTAAATATATAATTTGCACTGTTGGTTAGTATTGAAATTATAGCTTCAGATGCATGATATTTGTAGGGCCCTATGAAATCCGTTTTATTTTTCCCAAATTAGCCTAAGTTCCGTTTTAATTAGTCCTTTTTCCGTTTAAATTTTTCTGGATTCAGTTTTTTTTTCTGGATGATTATATTAAATTTTAACAAAAAAACATGTATAATTAATACAAATCATGACACTTGTTTAATTTAACAGCAATTTAGGCCTATTAAAAGTTTAACAAAAATTACATTCTTAGGGCCCAAATTCTGCGCTTTCTTTTTTTTATTAAAATTTTTCTGAATTCCATTTTAATGGTTTAATCAAAAACATATCTAATTAATTTAATTCATAAAAACAACTTAATTTATTAATTTGTATACAATAATAGGGCCCTATGAAATTTTAATTTTTTTTTCTTTTTTTTTTTTTTTTGTCTTGTGTATTTTAATTTTTCTGGTAATCAAATGAAGGTGAAAACATTAATCTATCTTTTATTCCAATGAAAATTAAAAGCAATATCACGGAATTCGTCAAATATTGAATGAATAAATCAAATGCAATTCAGTACACTTCAATCAAACCGCGATATGGACTAGTGTATGTGAATATTAAATGGCAAAAATACTATTTAGCTACAACAGACGACAACCGAGAGCGTTGCAGGTGCTTAAATAGCAAACTAACAAACGAAACGCGCGGCTGCGCCGTTCATTCCGTCACATTCCGCGTTACACAGTAAATTCCGTTTTTATGAATAGATTCCGGGATCGAAGTACACAAATCAAGTATTTGAGTAAAAGTACAGATACGTATAAAAGTACTCCTTTTTCATTTTTACTCGAGTGAAAGTACAAAAGTGCTTGATTTTTTATGTACTTAAGTTAAAAAGTACTGATAGATAGATTTATTTTGCAATTTTATATAGGCTACTTAATTAAATTTTATATTAGCACATATTTTTTTATAATCCTACTGCTCAAAATACCTGGGATTTTCCCAAAATAACCACTACATGAAGTCAAGATATATTTTTGTTGTTGATATGGACTACGTTGACGTGTTGAGTGTGATGTAGTAATGTTCACTATGAAGCTTACATTGTGAAGTAGCTGAGACAAAACAGATCTGACCATCTGATTTTCACCAGTAAGAAAAAAAGTGTTTTAAAGCTTGTTGTTTTGCAGAACATCACAGTTTTACGTATATGACATGATAATAAGGCCTAAAGTTAAGTAGAACATTTTAAGGAAAATTTTATTATATTTTCATAATGATTTTATTTCATCTCAAACCTTGTCCCTGGCCAAATGCCCCCAGAGGGCATCACTTCCCACTTTGATAATTACTGTAGTTACCATGTTCTGAACATCACATCCTTTCTTTTCCCTCAGATGTAATCTATCTAGGTGGTTGAATAAAAATATTTGGACTTTATATCTAAAAATTACCTCAATTTAGCACGAGCAAGCTTGTTAGCTAGACAGTTAGCATCATCTAACAATATTTACTTATTTTCAGTATGGTTATGAATAAACATTCATATCTGTCTACTCGGCTAGTTAATCCAAACAATATAAAAATGTATACTGTTGATAAACAATATAAAAACAGACGTCACATAGGTCGAGAACAACTGCAATCGGTTCATTCTAATTCGTGAATGAATCGTTTGGTGCGATCTGTGAACCGATTTAAAAGGGTCATTGAAAAGAATCAGTTCGTTCATGAATCAGACACCGCGTCTGCGGCTCGGGAGCACGTGATATATAATAAGGAGTAACGATATGTTTTATGAAATGTAGTGAAGTAAAAAGTACGATCTTATGCTTTGGAATGTAGAGAAGTAAAAGTAAAAGTTACTCAAAATAAAACGACTCCAGTAAAGTACAGATACTTGAAAAATGTACTTAAGTACAGTAACGAAGTAAAGCTACTCCGTTACTGTCCACCACTGGGTATAAGCTCAAAATAGTGACATACTGACAAACATAACATTTCAACACTATTAAAATTCATGATAAAGAGAGAGATAAAAGTTTTAAGCTATTATATTTAAAAGTATTAAAATATAATGATTTAAAATGTACTTTAAAGTAAAACTTTTAATTTGATATTATTACAAAGTGCACTTTTTAAAAGCGTACTTATTAAGTGTGTTAAGAAACTCTCATGAAAGTGTACTCTCTTTGAATACACTTAAGTGGTCTTTTATTTTATTAATGTTATACTACATGCAAGTACAGTTAAATATACTTTTAAGACTTGAAGTACATGACAAGTCCACATTCAGCACAATTAAGCACACAAGTGTTGCTATGTGACCGCAACTATTATGTATCCTTTGAGTATACTTCAGTGGTTTTAAATTCACCCCTAAGGTAAAGATTAAAAGTTTTCCCTAATTCGGAAATCACAGATTTACATTGATGCTTATTCGAATCTAAATAGGAACATATTATATAGATTTTAACGCTGTTCACCAACCACACTTCAGTACATTCTTACAGCAGATGTTTGTACTGAAATATTATGAAATGCATTATAATGCTACATGTTGTCCCAGTACTAATAGACTAGCTTAAAACTTTTGTTCTTGGCAAGTCGGTCATTTGCATTTCTACAGAGATGTACTGTAGTTCTGCCATGATATGGTTCACCAGCAACTTATGTAAGAAGCTTTCCATATTAATGTGAAGGACGCCATTTCCCTGTGAGTCACGCGTTTGGCTGTGACTTCTCTTGTCAATTGCTCACAAAAGGACGGGCCTTATTTCCTCAGGCTTAATTCCAGCTTAAATTAAAACTGTGTGTGTGTGTGTGTGTGTGTGTGTGTGTGTGTGTCTTTTCCTAAATCTCACAGCACTGACACACCAGACGTGCCACAAATAGCCTCTCTTTGTGCTGTTAACAGGACAATTGTTCATGCTAAAGACTTCTGAAATCTGTCAATAGTAGTTCTAGACAACAAACCATTCAGATGCCATTTATTAGCAGAGCTTGGTAAAGCTGAGAGAAACCCCTAACGCTAGAACTCATCCCACCTGGTTATACCATGAGCATGACAAATACCACAAATCATGTGACTTGTTGAGAAGAATTGTTAAGTGATCATATTTATTTTCACCTGATGGATGATAAAACACTGAAGCAAAACACTTACAACTACTCAGTACACCTTAGCAAGTGTGCTTAATTGTATTAAATGTGCACTTGTAGAGTACTTTAAGTCTTAAGAGTATATTTTAAAAAATTGTACTTGCAGATAATATTAATGACATTAAAGGCCACTTAAGTGTACTCAGAGAGAGTACACTATCATGACTGTTTCTTAAAAGTCTTTTAAAAGTATGCTACTTCTTTTTCACAAGAGAACCAAAAACACTCTATTTGTAGTGTATGACATTGAATGCAGCACAACCTATCAGACACATCTTATCACATAATATAACTAACAAAGCACAAAAACTCTTTGTCCCACTGAATCACAAAATTCTGCTGATATAATGATGATGATATAATGATAATAATGGATGTTATGTCTTTCACTGACTGTTATGGCTTTGTCTTTTACTGACTGTCAATTAATTACCAGTGTATGCTGGGTAAAATCTCCCCTTCAGGTAGCACGATCTGTAAAAAGCATTTCAGATATTCATAGATATCATGTGACGTCACACAGTGGTGCAGCCGTCATTTGTAGGATTGCAACATGCGGTCTATGTGCTGTGTTGTGGGCTGTGATAACAGCAAATCACAATGGATTATTTACCAGGAGATGTGGATGTATTGGATCATTTTGGTTAAATATTTCTAGTAAGCATCAATGCGTATTTACATTTTAGTATTTTACTTAGCAAGCACTCATCAGCTCATAAAGGAACTAGCAATAGTTAAATTAACGTGTGATACTTCAGCGAACACAGCTTTATTACTTTGCCCGAACACTTTAGGTGTGCTTACGCCAATACATGAACGAGATGTTTTTGATCTTTAACCTAAGTAGAGTTATGTGAGCTAGAGTGTTCACACTGCACTAAATTTTGACGAGCAACACTCTGATCCGCAAACAAAGAGACGAGGAGGAAGAAGAGGAGGAGGATGATGGTCCAGTGTATACAAGGTTTGTATTTTAAGTTTCCACATTCTTATTTTTATGAATTCAATTCTAAAAAGGAAAACTTGTTTTTATTTCATATAACATGAAGGATGTTAAAAGTGGAGAGGATTTGTTTGTAGTATTAGTATTAATTCCATAGAAGATTGTTGTTTTTAAATATCCTCCATTAACTAAATACATAAGCTAGTTTCAGTGATTTTTAATAATGAGAATGTACTGCAATCATATTAATATGCATCAGTAGTTCTGAGACTATCTGCAATCGCTCTGTCTTGCTTTTGTACGTTTGCTAAATGTAAGCAGACTTAAGTACAGATGCTCACCTCTGCCAAAACACATGTAAATGACTACAACACAAAACACAGAATCACAGTTTATCACTTCTGTTACTTCTTTAGTTGCTTCTTTACTCAGCATGTAAAGACACACAGGAATAACTTATTCTTTCTCTTAACATGCCACAAATTGCTTTTAATATTTCTGTGTGTTGTAATATTCAAGATAAGTGTTATCATCGCTGAAGAAATGGCAGATGTTAATCCTCAGACACCTGTGAACACCGAGCAGTGCTTGGAGTCCAAGACAGTGGACATCATCCTTATTATACTTCTCTGACTGGACTAGAGCCAATGAGAAAGTAAGTTCAAGTAAATGTCTGCATTGACCATTATACCATGTAATATTCTGCAACAACTGGGGGAATTTTAACTGAAGAGACTAATTGACCAACAGGAAGCTATTGATCTGCTGAATGTGTATTTTTCAAGCATTTTATTGCAGCATTCACTGTTATTTTTTTGCACAGTGATAGCTAGTGAAAAGTGTTTCTACTAATTTACTTAAAAGTATAGTTAATCCAGAATTCTGTCATCATTTGCATTATTACATCATTCCCCCCTCATTTTTTTCAAACCCCTGACTTTTGTTTTTATGCAGAACTCAAAAGAAGATACTATGAAGAATGCAGGTAATCAAAACCAACATGTTGGTCATCTGTGGACAACATGAGAGAGAGTAAAGGATTTTCATTTTTGGGTGATCTATCTCTAGTTAAGATACACACTTTATATATTAATCATGCGGGGCACAGCTACTTAATGTGCTATCATTGTAAATAGTCCGTCAAAAAACATGTACATTACTACAACATATACAATTTCATTCAGTTTGGTGCATTAAGTTAGACCTTTAGTAATAGATACTTGCATATTATTTGCTCTTTACAGGTGCAGAAATGAAAGCTCCCAAGCAAAGAACCCACCAGATTAAGATGTGGAAAGACGTTTCACAATGACCACAACTCCTGATAAAAGATTTGGAAAATGAGCAACAACCAAGGAACAAGTAATCACTGATTCACTCAAAAATGATCCCTCGGTAATGATTTAAATTATTTTGCAAGTACAAAATGTGTTTAATTCCAAAACTTTGCCATTTACCAATGTGTTGTTCAAAACACTTTTTAAGTTTTTAATGTTTTAACCTTTACTTATTAAATTTTACAATCCAATTATAAGTAAATGCATTGGTAATTTTGCAAAATGTGTTAAATATTTTGTCTACACTTATTGTATAACTGCTGCTTTTTACTGTAATTGCATGGTTTTGTAAATAAATTGTGTAAATAAATTTTCCTCATGCAAGCTTGATTAAGCGAGTTAATGGATTTTAAAATTGCATTCATAATAATGAGATGTTTACAGATTTAAGTCATGTTATTTATGCATTATAATCTGTATAATTAAAATGAAAGTAAGCGTTTTGGCTAGGTATCAATTTTAAACAAAGTATTAATGAACAGTAGATATCGAAATGAAACTGGGCCACGTCTTACGCGCTGTGCACATTAGCAACGGACTGATTCCGGCTTGGATGCAGCAGTGACGGCATGTTGATGGCTGTCTCCGGCAGGTGAGAATTTAACTGAAACTGGCCCGAGTGCATTTTTTCAAGCTTTTACTAGACTTCAATGGAGTCAACAGTTCGCTTGACAGTAAAAAAGGATTTGTAATCCTAAAGTATCTGTTTTCTTTAAATAACGTTGTTTTCATCGGTGGTGAAGTGTGCTATTTTGGTTTAAGATCACAAAAGAGAGGCTACGCAAAGGTTCTAAAGATGGTGGCCACAACAAAAAAAGTCACGTGCCTGAAACCCATGAATGCCTTCCTGTGTCCAATAAAGCCGAATACATGCTTGGCAGAAAATCTGTTTTAAAGGGAAAAGATAAATAAATAAATAAAACAATGGCCACGCTAAAGGAGAACATTTTGTTCCCTTGCCAGCAGGAGAACATTTTGCCTCTGCACTGCCTCTTGATTGTCCTTTCATTGGATTTCCTGAGAAGCACTATTGTCTCATTTACCCACCCTGCTGTTTATATAGACCATAACTGTATCCAAGAGAAGTCTACCTTACACAAAAAGGATACAGGGTAAAAAAGAAAAAAGAAAACAAAGTGCCTTGCGGCACAAAAGACCATATGATGATCATAAAATATGTTTAATAAAACCTAGGCTCATTGGAAAAACATGCCTGTGGCAACATTTCTGCAAAATGCATCATATATATGCTGCATCTTGTACATTTCATGACACTTTCAATGTGAAATGTGCAGTGAGTGGTGCTAAAAGCTTGTTCAGTTTTATCTGGAAGAGATTAATGTGATTCTGTCAATGTTTCATTACATTGGTTGTTGTATCACGCCAGTTCAGAAATAAAATGTCCGGTGAGTGGTGTTAAAAGGCTAATGGCCTATTGTGTTTGAAAAGAATGTACCATCTACTCTAAACCCTACCCTAAACCTAACCAATAGTGTTAACCCTAAAACAGCCACCCCACGAGGTCCACTGTCCCGCACGGTTTAGCTCCATCCCTAAACAATCATATAATGTAATTAAAAAAAAAAAAAAAAAAATCCTAAAATGATATTTATGTAACAACATATCATTTTTATGTAATCCTGAAGACTTTTGTTAGATTTTGCAGATTTGTTTGATAGGGTTGGAGCTAAACACTGCAGAATGGTAGCCCTCCAGGAGCAGGGTTGGACACCCCTGTTCTACCGTAAAATGAGCTGTGTGAAGCCCTGCAAGAAAAAAAAATCTAGTTAAAAATGCAAAGATTTAGTCAACTAAATGTAATATTATCAGTTTTACATGCAAATATTAACGATTGCACAATTTTTTAACTCAAAATAAATAGAAAGGGGACTGTGTACAGGGGGCCCAAAAGCCAGGAGGGCCTATAACACTCTTCGCTAAGGGGGATCCGCTCCCTTTGATGCAATTCATAATCCCCCATCCACCCCACCCCTCTGAGAGATTTTTTTTTATCAAGGGGCTCCTTGTATTTTCTGTGATTTCTGTGATTACTGTGTACTTTCTGTGTTTTCTACACCACCCCAGAATGCACAATAATGAAATACCCAGAACAGTGGGCACAGTTTACCTTGTGACGCCCTTCATTGTCAGTATTGAGGATAATCCTTTTTTTATACCCTAACCAGGCAACGTGTCTCAGGGGATACGTATATTTCAAAATACGATAAAAAACAACACAAACAACATATGACTTAATATTCTTTTTCAACATTTCAAGACAATGTTCACAATTAATACTAACAGTTGTATTGCATTTTGGGGGTTTTTTTGCTAAAAATGTAAGATCAATATATGCCTACTTTCTACATTTTCTGAATGTCCAGCCCCATGGGTGTACATGTTGGCTTTAGGTCAAACTGAAAAAACAAGCACAGAAAATTTGAACCAAGTCCTGTGACCCCCATACTCCAAACAACCTCAACTATGATTATGATGACAGTATTGGATGAAAAATTCTTCCTTGTGCCTCCTACAAGAGACTAAAGAATATGTATCCTGTGGTACACGTTGCCTGTTTAAGGGTTAACAAAAGCAAACATGAGATAAAAATGCATTTGCAGAAGCAACCATGGCATTTTAGCTTCTACCAGTCTTCAAGCTCATTTATTATGTGAGTGCAATGCTGTACCAGGTGAGCTACAAAGCAAGTTTACAATGTCAGAAAAGCCATGCATACGAAGCTGGTTATGTGATGCAAATGTCATATCTATTAGTTACACATCATGCACTACTGTAAAATGTTTTGAGGTCATAACATTGTGTGTGCAAGGAACCACACAAAAAGAAGTCAATAATCTGCCCTTCTAATCATTGTGTAATAAATTAAAGTTGTTGCTGCCACCAGTGTTAATTTCAGCTGCAATCTGCAGTAATTTATATTTATAGGTACGGTTTTGTAGTTTTGTCACAATGTACCATATATAGAGGCACGATTTTCCTGTGTTTCTGTAATCTCTCATTTGAAACACGTCACAAAAGTGACAAAGGAAGGAAATGTTTTTTGATGAATGAAGCAACTAGCTTGGTGTCTTTGGGAAGCATGTCGTGTATCCGGTTTGGCTTAGATATGGCATATTAGACTTGACAAAGATAGATCGGTTTTAATATAGTAAGATGTTTATCCATAATCGTATTTGTCTTTATTTCATAGATGGTTTGGCAGCCTTCAGAACCTTCCTCAAATCAGAGTTCAGTGATGAAAACATTGAGTTCTGGTTGGCTTGTGAGGACTATAAAAAGAGCAAATCCCCTGCTAAGATGATGTCTAAGGCCAATAAGATCTACAAGGAATTTATTGACGTTCATGCACCCAGAGAGGTATGTTGACTGCTTCTATAAAACCATAGCAACTACACCTGAACATATAGTACTCTTGTGGGTACTGTATGCGCATTACTGCTTGAGAGGAATTTGTTTGAATCACAAGAGCTATACATAATGCTGTTAACTAACATAATTACAGAGTATATTAAAAATAATTCAATCAGTATGTATGTTATGTTTCCAGACATTACAGCCAGTCATAACTTGAAAGATTGTGCTGTCTTTCCCAGCATTTGTTTTTAAATAAAATCATGGTGAAATAAGTTGGTAGCTAAACATTTTCCAAAAAGTATCATTGTGACACATCACTGACCCTAAACTTTAGAATGGTAGCATGTGCTAATTTAGGGTCAAGAAATGAATAGTTGTATTCAGCAAGGACATATCAAATTGATCAAGTAAACAGTAACGACATTTATAAAAAATACTTTTTCAAATAAATACTGTTTTTTGAACTTTTTGTTTAACAAAGAATCCTTAAATACAGTCGACACCGATTCCACACAAATACAGCACAACTGTTTTCAGCATTGATTGCAAACAGAATGATTTCTGAAGGATTATGTGACACTGAAGACTGGAGGTCTGATAATGGTTGATGAAAATTTAGCTTCGTCATTGCAAGAATAAATTACATTGTAAATTAAATAAAAAACTGTTATTTTAAATTGTAATAACATTTCACAATATTAATGTTTTTACTTATGGTAGTGTGTATATGCACTATTTAAATCAACATTTATTAAAACTGTACAGTTTTATAATATAAACTAAACATTTTATATAATTTTACAGTTTTTTTAAGCTTATATAATGCACTTCCGAGTTTGAGATCTGTGCTATTAAGACTTTTCTATGGTGGCCGAGAAGTGCTAAACAAATCACAATTCTGAAAACAAATTAACAAATTACAAATGCAAATGCAAATCTAAAAAGCAAAATAACAATTCAGAAAGCACAACGACAAATCAGACAAACCGGAAGAGGTAGGTATAGTTTGAAACAGCGCCATTGGTTTGGGATTACTCACCGCTGACTGGACGAGACATCTGTCAATCAAAGTATACAGGAAGAACCAGCCAAAGAACAGCAGAGTCGTGGTAGAAAGTTCGGAGATAGTATTAAAGTAGCTCAGTTTAAATGTATTGTATGAATTGCCCTGACTATGGAATAAAAAATACGGGGTGTCTATTTAGATTTAGATAAAAGTGGATGTGACTCATCAGCTCCAGTGGCGCAGATGGATAAGCATGTGTCGTTGGCTTTTTGACGCGATCCACCCTGGTTCGATCCTGCCTTTTGCCGAACTTTTTTTTCTGCCTTTTCAAATCTCTTATCACATCGTAAATGCATTTATTTTCAATAAAAATTAAGGAAATAATCAAAAAGTTGAAAATAAACTATCGGGTAGGGTTAGGGTAGGAGTAAGGAGGGCTTTATTGTACCAATAAGGTGGCATCCATTTAATAATTAAAATTATAATTTACACTCAATATGTTATTATTGCATACTGTTTTATAATGTACTACAATACTGAAGTGCAGATAATTGCCACTATTTGCAACAAGTAGTATACTTGATAGTAGAAATCCTGCTATTTTAACAGTGTAAATAGGTATTTGCATTTAGTGTAAATAGCATATTGCTAAAAATACTGCTATTTTCA